GAGATGTGGAGGGTGAAAGGATTCACCAGAGACACAGCGGGGAGCAGAACAGGCAGATTGACGAAGTACACTGCTGAGGGGAGCAGTGGGCGGGTCAGGAGAGGTCTGCCACACCATGTGGTCACCTCCAGGGCAGGCGGGGATCGAACTCATGCGGAAGTGGCTTTGGCTTCTTAGTGCTGTGCTTTAACCTGCTGTACCACCAGGGAGGGCCTATTGGTCTCCTTTAGAACTTCCTGGCTAGTGATCTTCCAGGAAGCTTATTACTTGACAAGTCAATTCATAACTTCTTTTGACAGCTCTATCTATTATTTCTTATATTTTAACTTTAAATATTATTTTCTGTAGCTTACAACCACATGACACAAAGTTAATTCTAGTTCCATTTTTAATTCAATGATATGTCAGGATACTTGGGGCATTTCTGTCTTTCCCTAGTCTAAACACCACCAGTTTCTCCAACCACTTCTCCCATGCGTGACTTCCTCTCTGCCTTCTCTATTGCCATCAACAGACAACCTTCTGTCTCTGACCCTGTTCTGGTGTGGTACAGCAAAATTAATTGTTCACAACGTGTTGTCATAGTATAATACCCAAAGTGCCTTTCTAGAGTTCCAGTTTTGATTTTCAGAATCTCTGCATTCATTTTGAACTCATTTTGTATGAAACGTCAGCTCAATTTCATTAGCCTGATAAGACCCTCTAAAATCTTTCTAGCTATTAGTCACATCTGGATAATTTAAGTGGATTTCTCATGTTGTACAACTGTCTTTTCACATTTTCAGCCCTGGCATGTCACTAGCCAGAGAAACCACAAAGACACTCAGAGTATCTTTCCTGATCTTTCAGTGGCTCCTCGAATTCATCTATAGATTTTCAATCTTACAACTGAAACCTGGGAAAATTAACTCAGCCAGACACTGTTTGACAACTTGTCCTTACCTGGAAAGAAATGAAAAAAAGGCCACAAATTGGCTCAATATAAATAATAAAATAGGGTTTAGTCATCCACACAACATATGTTGCAAGAAACTGGACTGGACAACCGAATGAATGAGAATGAAGGTTATAGTGACATATGCTCAAGCACATACTCTCCCCAAAATAGAACATAGTTATTAATATGTCAAGTAATACAACTGGTAAGGTACAAAGATCTGTGAAAAGCTGAGAGAAGAGGTAGATTTCTTTGGTCTGGCCAGGAGGTGGCAGAGAGGGCAGAAAACAAGATACAAATTAGAACAACTAAATTGAAGAAGAAATCAATCTGGAAGGGCAGGTGGGGTGGAACAGCAGGGATGTGAGGATCGAATAACTACCAAAGGCTTGAACAATTTGGTTTGGTTGAAGAATAGAGCTCATGAATACTACTCATAGGAAATAAGGTTTGAGAAAACAAAGAAAGGCAAAGCTGAATGAGATTGTATCTTTCTCAGGACCAGCTAATCAAAGGGTATTTACACCAAAGAACAGGCCAATTCATCAAAATACACAGAAGGGTGGAGGGAAAAGGCCAATAAATCAGAACTTCGGCCAAAAAGAAAGATTTAAGTGAATAAATGGAGGGTAAAAGAGAAAAGCAAAGGGTAAGAAGGAAAAAAGTCAAATATTGTCTTCCAACTGAGAGGAGGTGCCTCTGGGAATTACTTCCTTTCCTTGGCATTTAAATGTACAGCTTAGATTTCTAATCATTTATCTTCATTTCCCTATGTCCTTTGTTAACAACCACTTCCCCTAACCTACTTAATCCACCTCAGCAAAACAGTCATTATGACCAATCCTCCAAAGAGCGTTGGCAAAAGAAAAGCAAGACACTAAGAGATCAATTCATTATCTCAGATATATCTGACCATAGAGAGAAGGGTCAGCTGATCTTCCTGATATACTCCCTAGGGAAGGAAACAGAGAAGTGATGAGACAACCTAACTAGGTATGAATGGAACAAAGGGACTCTGGACGCTGATGAGCCTCATGATCAACCTACAGAACTCAGGTCTTCCTACTCTGTTCATTTATTCTTTCACTTATTCTTCTCTTTCCCTTCATCCCACCTTCCCCTGCCACCATATACCAAATAACACACAAATATAAGAAAATTCCATGGGAGACCCTTCATCTCAGTTTACATGTCACTCCATCAGTCCAGCATGATTGACATAGATCTGTACATAGCATCCTAGGTTTTTTCTTTCAGAAACGCATGGCCATGTGATTTTTCATTCACTGTCTTCTCTGCCATGTTGCAAACTCCTTTAGGGTAAGAGATGATTCCTTAGAACCTAATGCAGGGTCTGAACTCAGTGAATAACTGCTGAATGAATAAGATTTCACAAACAAGTGATTCTGCTTGAATTCCCTAGAATTCTGTACCCCCCCCAAAAAAAATGGTGAGGTCAAGATTGATAACTATTCACCAAAGTCATTGTTCTAGCATTTTTGGGCATAGCTCCTCTAATTTCCCAGCCTCCCTTGCAGCTATGTAAGGCATCAGATGAGACCTGGTCAGTGGTAGGGGAGTAGAAGTGATTATACCACTTCTAAGCTGACCCATAAAAATACTCCGGTGATGGGGGTGGAGTGGGGAATGGGATCAAAAATGGCGGGGGGAAGGGAGGGAAATGTACGGGACTATGGTGGTGGCACATGGGTGATTTGGTGATGGGAAACCCGCGGGGATTACAATTGAGATGGAAAAAAAAATGTGCAAAATGATGTAAAAATAAACTTTTGTAATAATTAAATAAAAAAAAAAATACTCCGGTGCTTTTCTTTCCCACCCATGCTTTTTTATCTGAACTGGACTAGAGATGCTCCCCTCTGTGACTTTAAAGACTGTTGATATTCCCTGTATGAAAAAGAGTCATTCCTCTCATCTGTTCATAAAGCTAAACTTCTCATGTTTGAGTCATCATAAATTTAGGAGTTATAGTAATTAACTATTCTAGTAATACTCTAAGGTTACAACTCAAATTAAACTTTCCTAATCCATACCAGCCAACAACTACTTGTCACTTGCCTAGGAAAAAATAAAGGCACTCAAATCTTTTTTTTTTTTTTTTTTTTTGGTGTAGACAACTGAATAAAAGTTGTTTTTTCATATCATCATGAAGACCTTGCCTTAGACGTTCCTGGGCTTGTGTCACAGCTACAAAATAGCCTGGGCAAATTCTGGTGGTGTCAGGACACTGGGCTGTCCGCTTTTTTGTCTTGCCTCCTAACAGAATATAGCACCTGCCCCACAGACTCCAGACAAACATTCTTGAGTAGCCTAGCTCTGGCCTCATGTGTGGTGTGTTTACTAGGCAAAAATGTCACAAAACATCACATCTTTCAGGGTCAGCTGGAAAAAGGTTGCCAGAAGTTTTTTTTTTGTTTTTTTTTTTTGTTTTTTTTTTCAAGAAGTCACAACAACCTGTACTGCCACTGAGCACCAAATGGCCTGCCTTCTCAATAGAGCGTCCAGCTGCTGATAGATACACACTTAGACAAAATCCATTTCCCTGCAAAGCTCCTCTTACATGTATATTTGACTCTTTCTGATGTTTCCACTTAACACTAGAGACTTCAAAGAGAATGCCTCTCCCTGATGGACTGAAGCATTTAGGTAATTGAATTACATTAAGAGAATTAAAGGCATGTACTGCCTATAATTGCTTGTTCAATCCAGGGCTAGGAAACTACTAAAGAGTAAATAATTGACTAACTCTTTTCACCTTTCTTCATTACAAGTTTGTTTGCTTCAGGATCGTCCAGATCAGGTGGTACTCTGTGGGTCCTAGACCCTTTTAAGATTTTGATGAAATGCCTTGACCTTGTCACAGCAAAATAAATATTTCTGTAAGTGCATGCATCTATTACATATGATTACAGAGACTCTCAGGTTGCCTAGTTCACTTATTGATCCAAAGTTCATGGACCTTCTAGGGAAGAGGTCAGCAAACTTTTCCTTTAACGGTCCAGATGGTCAATATTTTTGGCTTTTCAGTCCACATGCAATCTCTGTCATATCTACTCAGCTCTGTTGTCACAAGGTGAAAGATCCATATCCTTGTCCCAAAAAAACTTTATGGACATAAAAGTCTGCTTTTCATATATTTTCCCTATCACAAAATATACTCTTTTTTTTTCATTTTTTTTCCTAGTTACTTAAAAGATAAAAACTACTCTTAGCTGGTAGCCTATGTCACAACAGGTGAAATGCATAGTTGTTAATCCCTGCTGAGGTCATGGGTCTTATGGGTTCATCACCTTGGAAAATAAAAATATTATTTTCTCTAATTTCCAACAGGGATTTCATGATCCCTTTTATTATGAATTTAGGCAGCAATTCTCAGTAGCATCAGCAGTAAACTTGGTTTCCAACAGAAATCAGTTATGTTCAGACCACACTAAAGTGGCCACAGGTAATGAAAAATATTATATTCACTGTTTTAAAAATATGGTCACTATGAAATCTTTTGCTGAATCTCACTATTTAAAATTGTTGAGGCCCTCCCTGGTGGCGCAGCAGGTTAAAGCACAGCACTGAGAAGCTAAAGCCACTTCTGCATGAGTTCGATTCCCGCCTGCCCCGGAGGAGACCACATGGCGTGGCAGACCTCTTCTGACCCGCCCGCTGCTCCCCTCAGCAGTGTACTTCCGCGATCTGCCTGTTCTGCTCCCCACTCTGTCTCTGGTGAAGCCTCTTGCCACCCCTGAGCCTCTGGCCTGTACCCCAGTTCTGTATGTACAAATAAATAAATCTTTAAAAAATAAAATAAAAATAAAATTGTTGATAAAGAAGCATATATTAATATAACACACATTTGATGTTTAATATTTTGAAACTATATTTAAACATAATTTATTTCCCTTATAACACTATTATAATTCATGGACTTAAAAACAATGCTGAGAAATAATCCAGAACTTTCACCAAATAGTAAAGAGGTCTACAGTACAGAAGAGGTTACCAGTCCAGCCTCAGAGGCTTGAGCTAGCAAAACAAGAGCATCTCTTACCAGAGCATTTACATCTTCCGTTTTGTGGATGAGCATTCGAATCTCCTCTGGATCACCGCTGAAGATTGCTTGGACCAGTGGTGGCTGGAAATACAGGAGAATTTGAATTAGAACTAAATACTTTCAGACACAAATGACAGGAAGAAATTTTGTTCTTCAAAGCTGATTCAACAATTATCAATTGCAAAAATTAATATGGCTCAGACCCACCCTCAGTAGAAATCTAGTGGAGATATTTGCATAAAGAAATAACTATAATGTGATTTTAAAGCCTTGACAGTTATATCTAAACTGAAGCTAAGAGGCTAACACAAAAACTGCACATAGTTGAAACTCTCATTGAAAAGCTCTTAAATTTTCCATGAAGGAAACTACCAGATCTGTGGTTTTGTGTACATGATGATGGCCTATGACTGTCTCAGCTTTGATTACACAATGTCCATGGAAGCCTCGAACAATTCCATTTCTACAGGATGCTGTCATGTTTCTGGCCTCCTGAACATTTCTTTGTCAATGTTTGGAAAACCCTTGAAATCATTCCCAATAATTCCAAAAAGTTTTGGTCAACAAACACTGGCTGTTTTTAGATGAGATTACACCCCACTGCTTATCAAAGTAAGTGGTATAGTGTCAGAGTGGGGAGCAAGTACATTACTCAGCTTTTGCTACTGAACCCACCTACACTAAACAAGAACCCAACATAAAATAGAAGGATTTATGAAGTGTGGTGGAAACACCACTGGAAGAGAAGGCAACTCTGAGGATGGTAGGAAATTTAAGGAAGTCTATCCAAGGAAGCTTCATGGAAGGCACCTTAATGAGAGAGTATGAATTGCTGACAAGGAAGGACATTCCAAGCACAGGGAATAGGGTGTGCAAAGACATGTTGTTCCAAGAAATTGATGTCAGAGGAGATTCTTCACATGCTTGTTGGCTACCTACTAATGAAACCTCTAGTTATAAGACCCGAGGCAAAGATCATATTTCAGACAAACACAGAGTTAGATACAAACTCAGGACTTAAACAAAAATCTTGAATTTTGTTGATCTGTTTCATAATTCTCTACCTGCTATTCTTGTGGTCAAAGGCCTCTGTGTTTTTCTGCCTTTTTAAAACGTAAGAGAAAATAAATAACAAACCCAGTCACTATATGATGACAAGTAGACCCAGAGTCTGACAAGGTTTTTGTGTTATAGCAACAGTGGTCAATCAACAGTTGAGAAGTTAAGATTCCGAGGAACAAATCCATCCCAGTATCTCATGCACCACAAGTTAGTCATTTGAAGGGTACACAGGTAGGTAAACAAAGATTCTCATCACTCATGAATGTAAGGAACGCACATAGAAATTCTGTTACATTCAGTCCTCACACTTCTCAAGAAAGACAAGCATTCCTAGTTATGCCTGGAATGTTCCCAAGGAGAACCACCCTAATAAAGCTGCCAGGCAAGGAGGCCAGCACAATCTTTCAGCAAGGAAGTTTTTGTAAATCTTCCCCAAAACCTCTATACTCAACCCCCTTAGACAAGTTTGAAGGGTGTCATTAAAGCACAGAATTCCCAGGAGAACATTTGTTCCATCACCTTGGCATCTTGGTCTGCTAAAGGCTGCTTTGGAAAATACTATCAATACACAGAATCCCAGCATACATCGGGAGCAAGGAGAATTATTTCAACTCTTCCAGTACTGCAGTTGCACATATGTGCACCACACACACACACATTCACATACACATGCCTACATTTGTACATTATATACACGTATGTATCTATACTCCTATTTATATGCCAAGAGATACCAATCAATTCATATACATTCCCTCACAGTACCTGCAGAATAGAAAGTTCCCATTCTCCCAAGTCCAAAGTCTTGTTCAATGTATATCTTTAGCCCCAGCTAGGCCACATAGCAATTGCAGCTTCATTGTCTTCACAGTTGTGAATACAAGCATCATGGGATCCCATATATGCAAGCATCATGGGATCACAGACTCATGCCTTGCTTGAATGGAAGCTGTGTGCCCTCTTGAACTAAATTACTGTGACTGCTGAACAAGTAGCATATTAAAAATAAAACAAACATTATGGGTATTTCTTTTTTGCTTCACGGTCCCCAAAAAACATGCCCAGAGGGCACTCCAGCATTCTATTTTGTTGGAATTTTAATCCAATCCTGCTGTTTTATTTTTCCATAGGTAAACACTTACCCTGGGGACAAATATTTGGGAAACAAATATATCTAAATGATGTCTCTATTACTTGATTTTAAGGAAGGGGGAAATATTCTAATTATAACATTCTTACTCATAAGAATCAAATAGATATACTCTGTTTTCCATTAGTTTGACAAACACTATGACTTTTGCAACTTTTGCTTTGACCTTACTAAGGCTTAGAAGCAAAAGCTAACCTACAAAAGAGCAGAATCCTGAGTCTTGGTTTGTATGGGTATTTCTTTTGGAAGTTTCACATATTTCAACGAGTAATATACAAAATAGGGGTGGTTTGTCTGCAACAAGGTACGAAGTTGAAGAGACAAGTCATAATAAGGGTCAAAATTGTGAAAACAAATAGTGGCAAAAATAAAAGTGATTCCAATACCAAGAAGCTATTGGTTATTATTTCCAAAAGAAATGCAAATTCTTAAGAGAGAATACAGTAAGTTCAGCTTTAAGTACTAGAATTTTCTTAGCATGCATAACAACTATAAACTGGAAATGACTGTCATGTGCTCTGGATATTGGTTTCGTCCCTCTTGTAGATTCAGAAGGCGGAGAATACTTCTTGGGCCTACTTAACGATGGCATAAGCAGGATCAATATTTAGACAGGACCTGTCCTTGTCTTTCAACATTACTCATTACCAGAGCCTCACCATCATTGCCAGAAATATTGGCTTGCCAGATTAATGACATTTAATCCTTCGAAGACAGAAGTTCAAAGCAGAGAGGATCTGTGAACTGGGCGGCCAGTGTCAATTTTGTAGCCTAAACCAGCTAACACTGAAAACTGAAACATTTTCATAAAGAAGCCATTTTGTCTATGTAAACCGCTATCCACCCATCCAGTACAACATATTTTAATTTTAATCTCAGTCTTTGAAGAAAACTTGGGAAAACGCCTAATTTCCAAAATTAAGACAAAGATCACTATGTACTGGTGGGAAGTCTCAAACTTTGAAGTAGAGTTACAATTCCACTAGGGGGAGCAAGATGGTAATTTGTTACCTGGGAGATAAGAGTAAATGCTCAGATTGTGTAATTAAGGGAAGCAAGGTAGCTGGAGGATTATTCAAGACATAAAAGAACTCAAGCTTCTAAAATAATTCTCATAGTAAGAAAACACACTCACACTATGTACATACCATAATAAAAACTTTCCTATTGATCCCTGAGAGTCCTAGCTGTTATGCTAAACCCAATCCAAGAATTCTCTCAATTCCATTTTTTAAAAAATGGCACTAGTGGCATTAGAGATGTCATTCGTCTAAAGAATAAAGCCCACTATGTCTTCTACAGAGAGTACAGCTAATTTTATAACATCCACCCTGCAATGAGATGGCTCCCATCTCCAAAGTCCCCTAATGAAATCACCACATTTTTTTTTCTAAAACTGCTATCTAGTACAACTCACTTTTGCTTTGTCAAAGCTTTACACTCTTTGCTAATGTGTTGTCTTTGGAAGAAAGCAGATGCAGAGAGGTGGTCGTGGAGAATCCATAACTGCAGTCAATGGTAAGAAGTCCAAAACCACCATTTCCTTCCAAATTCCTGGTGTGATACTTGTCTTTTTTCTGGTCAGATGGGGGTAATTAAAGACTACATACTTAAAAGAAAAATCTTGCATTCCAATCAGAAATGGGTGTTGTGAATCAATCAAAAATCAAGAGGAAAAAATTAAATTCCTAAACATCTGTCCATACTTGCATATTCTGAGTACAGTATGTCATTAAAGAAGATGGGGGCGTGTTATTAGTAGCTAATAGCTGATGCAGCAATAATCTGGCCATCTGAAACCATCAACTTATATGAACAAGCTGAAATACTTCATTAGGTATCAACTGTTTTTTCTATGAGGCAATACTTGCCTTTTTACAAAAGGATAATAAAAATTTATTCGAGTCACTAGATTTAATGGACAACAGTTGTTAGCTCTACTCATGTGGGTCCTGCTGTGTAATCTGCTGAAAAGATGTCATTAAGTGTTTCCTGAATAGAGATCACACTTTACTTGGGGAGAAGTTCACTCCATCACAGAATGATAATGGCAATCATAAAATCAAATCTATTTCCCTTAACTGTATGAATGTACTGAGTCCTCATAAACACTTTTAACGTAAGACCACATATCTTAAAATGTTTCCCACAGAATATGTTGCAGATTCACTGTTTATAATACACGCAATTATTAATAAAAACAGAGAAAGCACAAAATTCAAGTGTTAGTAGTACCCTTTCTATAGGTAACTGTTTATTAACACTATCCTTAAACATTATTTAACAAGAAAATGGGAAATTAAAAATTTATTATCTCTTCTTTTCCAAAATAAAAATAACACAAAAGCATTGATTATGAGTTAATTATCCAGTTTGGGGAACAGTCACATCCTTCATAGCACCACCCTATCCTGGCATCCTCCTTGGCTACTTCTCTGCTCTTAATATCACTCACTAGTATCCTCAACAACCCCAGGAAAAGTAAAATATAACACATCACCTTTGCTACTAATCATTCACAAAAATAAATAAATAAATTAGATGAAAGGAAATAAGTAACAGCATTGTTTACACTGAAATCTGAAGGGAATATTGACATCTAGAGAGTACACTATTTTTCTTTCATAGTAGAGAGATTAGTGCAGGGTATCAGACCAATTTAGGACTAAATTCCAGCCAACATCTCATCTATAAACGGGGGTTTGATAACCATTTTATATGATGTGCTTAAGAAATGGCACAATACATAAAGTACTCCCATACTAGTTTAAGCACCAAGTTGCACTCAAGTTAAAAATATTGATCAGGCCCTCCCTGGTGGCGCAGTGGGTTAAAGCACAGCACTGAGAATCTAAAGCCGCTTCCGCTTGAGTTCGATTCCCGCC